ACTCGATAACCGCTTGCCAAAATCTTTATTTTTTTATTAATAAAATTTGAGTGAACACATTTATATACCATGCGACCAAGTATGCATACAAGTTTAATGGTGTGAGGGGGCGAGAAAAATATTTTCTGAACAAACCTTTTATTATTGAATCATGGTACATACATACATATATATTTGAATGCGACATGTTAGGAAGGAACAATAGGTACATCTTAATATGATCTAAATAAATTCAGCTAAGTAATCATATTGAACACATATTTGATATATTTTACTCTTCTGCATCTTCTTCCTCCGGAGCCACTACGGCATCACCCTCAGATTTTATTGCCTCAATATGAGAGGACAATTCAATTATTGGTTCCTGTTTAATTTCAGAGATGGCTCTTTCCGGTTGCTCCATGACAGTTTCGGCTGTAACAATGCTATATAAACCTGAGAAACTTGATTCATCTGCTGGCTGTATAGCATGTAATTCTTGGCGTGCGATTTCAGCGAGCTCTGCAGCTTGACGCGCCAATTCTGCTTCCTGTTCTTCCGCAGCTTGTTTCTCGATTTCGGCTAAACGACTCAATTCCTCTTCTCGTAGGCGTTTTTCTTCTTCAAGGCGAGCTTTTTCTGCTTTTTGTGCAGCTTCTTCTTCCATTCGTAATTGTTCAGCTAAACGAGCTTCTGCTTCCAAACGGTCTTCTTCAGCTTTACTTGCTAAACGCGCTTCTTCAGCCAAGCGCGATTCTTTTGCTTTGCGCATGTCTTCAACTTTTCGTGCCTCTTCAACTGATCGTGCTTCGGCTTCGAGGGCTTCCTTAGCTAAACGCGTGTTTTCAGCCAAACGTGCTTCTTCAACCAAGCGTGCTTCTTCAGCTTTGCGTGCCTCTTCATTGGCATAGATGTTAGTGTATTCAGCTTCGAATTGTTCCTTTTCTGAATCTTCTTCAGTATCCTGTTTAATTATTTCGTTTAAAATTCTGAAATGAAACGTAATTTCAGATTATAGTCATACGTGATGATACAGCAAGTAATTTTTAAGCAAAAACAAAACCGACCTCAATTCTCATATAAAAAAAAAAAATATATATATTTCATGATCCAATGATCGGGTCTAAACCAGACTAGTATGGGACCACCTCCGAGACACTACCTTTCGGATGCAAAAAGAATTATCGAAATCGGTTGACGTGGTCCAAAGTTATGCGGTAACATACATAGAAAACAGTATTTCGACGAAGGAGTTTATCTCCTCTTTTTTTTGGAAGTCGGTTAAAAATGAACGTAGTTTCAATAAACCACTTTTTGATTAAAAAGCAGATTTTTGACCACTGCTCAATTGTGGAAAATTCGAAGCGGTCGTACCCAATTTAAGTTTTTTGATGGCGGGAATTTGGGATTATAAATAAAAAGTTAATATCAAGCCGAATTTATATAAGGAGGTGTTGTTTCATCAGCTTTGAGTAGCGTTTGATTGTCAAAATTTTGTATTTCGCTAGTGAGTGAATGATAGGGTCGCCAGACATTATAGTGACATAATCAGTACAGTTGGGATCAAAAATCAGTACAAAGCCATAAAAATAAGCTCATTTTTAAACGTATTTTTAATTATTAACAATATAATAATTAATTTAACAAAAAATAACTAATAGACTTTTAAATACATATAGTATATTGTCAATATAAAAATTCATTACTTTAAAACAAATCAAGGGTATTATGTATGTATGTACAGCTGCGCTCAGGAAAATAATAGTAAAATGTATTGACAGGTTTTGAAAATTTTTTCTTTCCTTAATTAATTTAAATTTTTTATAAATATATAGTTAATTCCATGATAAAAATATAGCAAGGTAGAACCGTTCTCTCAATTTGTCGGCCATGATTTTTTTTTTGAAGTTTGCCAACATTTTAAAATCATATAAAAGTGAAAATGAAAAATTGAAATTGTTCGAAATTGTTGTTGCTTGAGATTGAAAATGAAAATGTGTGTGTGAGTTTGTGAGTAAATTTAAAAATTAAAATTGTTTGGAAACGTCAAGAATTTTAAAAGTGACTCTCAGCGGTTCTACCTTACTATATTTTTATCATGGTTAATTCTATCACAAAAGACATGTGAGTTGAAGTCTCAAACTTTCTAGAAAATTTATAAAAATTGAAAAAAATTCAAAAAAAATAAAATTGTAGCCCATTCAGTTTCAGTAGAAGACGAGCTCGAGTCAGAATCGGTTTGCATATTTTAAGCTACAAATTTAAAACATATTTAGTTGGTGTGCTTACTAAATACGACATTCAAATTAAAATGTTGACTAAAAGGTATATTACCGAATTATCGCTAAACGAATTTTCGAGTACGAATGCAATTTAATAGTGTCAAATGTGTATGTGCGAGTAAAATTACAGGTGGTCGAACATCAAAAATCAAAATAAAGCTACATATATCATATCCAAGCAGCGGCGGATCCAGAATTTTCTGATGTGGGAAATTTCGCCCCTTATTTTAATTACGTTTCTCACCAACGGCTCTAACGTAGAAAAATGAAAAATCTTTTAAAAAAGACTTTCGAAGT